CAGTAGTAATGTCATTGACTCTTTCAGAAACAAAAAATCTCGCTCCGAACAAGTAACTGTGATAACACCGGCTGTGGCGACTCACCCCGTAATCCGGTGCTTTTTCGGTCACGCAGCAGTGTGTGTAGCTACTGAGTGTACAGGCAGTGCAACTGCACCGGCACCCAGGCGCCCAGGCCATGTAGAGAGGAGTGGACATTGGGACAGGGGGCCCACATTACATTGCTTGGACAAGGGCCCATGCCACGCTACGCCAGTACACCAGTGTCGCGCAGATTTGTGAAACTTGCGAACCTGTTGGGTTTGCGAGGTAGCCACGAGGTAGCAGTGCAGTCTGTTCTCCTATAATGCTGCGTGTTGTTTTCATGGCGCGAATTGGATAGAACGCGATTGAGCGAACAGAACTCCGTCGCGCGAGTAGGACTAAGCAGTCGTACGGCTGCCTCGGCGTAGCATCACACAAAGCGGGATGCTGCTGGATGCTTCTAGATGCTACCCGCACGCCTCGGTCTTTTTTCGGTCTGCGTACACATCCAGTGTATCGTCGCGGAGTGTGCTTTACCCTATTTTATGTTACTAGCGGTAGGTACCCAGCGTTGCCCGGGCGAATAAGACAGACACACACATCGACTTACACACAGACATCGACCCACACACATAGAAACACATCGACTTACACACACACATATGGACTCACACACACAGACATCGACTTTAGACACACACAGACATGGAATTACACACACACATCGACTCACACACATAGACTTACACGCACATATCCACACACACATACATAGATTCACACACAAATTTACCTAGATTTAAAGCTTTCGTGACTGCTAGGATCCATACTCTTTGGTTCTATTGGGTAAAGTCACGTAGGTGAAAATAAAATAACAAAAAATCACGACGTTTCGGCCACAACACAAGCGGCCTTCATGAAGGCCTTCACACACACATATCGACGCACACACACACACACATGGTCTCTCACACATAAACACATTACCGTACACACATGGACTGACACACATAGACTCACACACAAACACACACATCGACTCATACACGCACATGGAGCCACACACACATGGACTGACACACACACATGGACTTACGCACACACACACACATATACGTACACACACATGCACTCGCACGCACACATGGACATACACACACGCAAATAAATGGACTTACACTGACTGACATGGAGCCACGCACACAGCGACTAACACACACACGCATTGACTGACACACACATATCGACTCACACACACAAACGCATCGACTCTCACACAGACACATCTACTCACACACACACATTGACTCACACACACAGACACATCTACTCACACACACATTGACTCACACACACAGACACATCGACTTACACACACATTGACTCACACACACAGACACATCGACTTACACACACACACATCACCGCAGACACGCACATCGACTCACACGCACACATGGACGTAGACACACGTATTATTATTGTTAAAATAAGTAACTTAATTTTCAATTAGTAGTTGTCTACACACACACATCACGCACACACATTGACTAACACACACATCGACTTACGCACACACACATCGACGGTATGCACTGCGATCACTACAGCAGTGCATACCGACTGTGGTGGTGCCTGCTTTCACTACAGCAGTGCATGCCGACTGTGGTGGTACCTGCTATGATAACAGCAGTGCATGCTGTGGTGGTACCTGCTTTTACTACAGCAGTGCAAACCGACTGTGGTGGTTCCTGGTATCACTACAGCGGTGCCTACTGACTGTGGTGTAACCTGCTATGACTACAGCAGTGCATACTGACTGTGGTGGTGCCTGGTATCACTACAGCAGTGCATGCTGTGGTGGTACCTGCTTTAACTACCGCAGTGCAAACCGACTGTGGTGGTTCCTGGTATCACTACAGCAGTGCCTACTGACTGTGGTGTACCCTGCTATGACTACAGCAGTGCATACTGACTGTGGTGGTGCCTGGTATCACTACAGCAGTGCATGCTGTGGTGGTACCTGCTTTTACTACAGCAGTGCATACCAACGTTGGTGGTACCTGCTTTCACTACAGCTGTGCATACTGACTGTGGTGGTACCTGCTATGATAACAGCAGTGCATGCTGTGGTGGTACCTGCTTTCGCTACAGCAGTGCGTACTAAATGTGGTGGTACCTGCTATTATTACAGCAGTGCATATTGTGGTGGTACTTGCTATCACTACAGCAGTGCATACTGACTGTGGTGGTACCTGCTATCACTACAGCAGTGCATGCCGACTGTGGTGGTACCTACTATCACCACAGCAGTGCATGCCGACTGTGGTGGTACGTGCTTTCACTACAGCTGTGCATACTGACTGTGGTGGTAACTGCTATGATAACAGCAGTGCATGCTGTGGTGGTACCTGCTTTCGAAACAGCAGTGCACACTTACTGTGGTGGTACTTGCTATGGTTACAGCAGTGCATAGCGACAGTGGTGGTACCTACTATGATTACAGCAGTGCATACTGACTGTGGTGGTATGTGCTATCACAACAGTTAGTACATGCTGACTCTATAGCAGTATATATCGACTCTATAGCACAAACCACGAACCTGACAGTGGCGTGGTGAGGCCTAGTCTCGTGCAGAGCCCCCGGCCTTGCCTAGATTGCCCAGCCAGCAGGCTGGGGGCTGGGCCGCGACCCCCCCTTATATAGTATGGAATACTATATAAGCACTATATTAATATGTACGGACTCTATAGTAGTAAATGTACGCATCGGGGTGGGGGGAGGGAGAAGAGGACATCACACAGTGAAGAATGTATCTCAGCGTTGTGTGTGTTTTTGTAGCATTTTTTACGCGAAATATAATTTCACCCTCACCCCCACGAACGCGTGTGACTTGGCATGGTCCGTCCCCCCCACCAAAAATGTGTGAGTTGGTGTGGTCGAGCGTGCGTATTGAATAATGAAATAAAGAAAAATCGCACTAAATCGCTAATTTAACTAATTTAAAGGTGATGGGACGTGAAAAAGGAATAGCGCTTGCCAACCGCGGGTCTTACGGCGTGGTACCTGGCTAATTTTTTTTAACGTAAACCCCAAGGTTTGAGAGCAAAATTCCTTGCAAGCGCGTGAACACAAACAGATAGACAGACATAAAATTACGTTTAAAGGTAAGATGTATTATTACAACCAGATTTTTCCAAACCGCGGTGTTCTTCAGGAACACGAAACTACCGCATTATAGAAAAGACTTTGCTGAAAGTGGAAATGTACATCCATCTGTGTGGACTTTTGTGAGCCATCCCAATGTACGCATGCAATCTAGCGCTGGAGGCGTGAGGGGTTGGTGGATCTCACAAATTCTGTGAAACTCCCTTCCTGTGGGCGTCACGATGCCATGCCCTGGCTCGCCAGAAGAAGGCAGTACAGCAAGTGAAAATCATCGCCATCTGTTTCCATCCGCACGGGGATTCGGTGTTGCCCCTCTCACGCGCGTAAACTTTCTCCGCGAGCTCCCAGTTTCCTCCCACGTGAGTATTGAGCACTGAATCATTAATTGGCTCAAAACAGCTTACAATGGAAGCCCAATGCAGGACCCTCCTCCGGAAAAAGAGTCACATGGCTCAGGATGGGCTCTCCTGGATAAATAACTCAAATAAGTAAATTTTATCCACGAACTCCGGGTTCTTCCGCCGTACAACATGCTCCTTTCAAAGGGAATTGACCAAACCAAAAACACTGCAATGCAGTGCCTTCCTGAAAATTTTGCAGAAACTCAGCAAAGCTTTTCATGGATTTATTTGTAAAATGTACGTCACGAGGTTTGTGTTTCCAGCTGTTGGATTCATTTTCTCTTTGAGGAGTTTTTTTTTTAGGTGGCTGGGTGGCTCGAGGGGGGGGTGGGCAATAGCAGTTGGGTTGGCACCCTGGAGATGATTGATTATAATCTAGGCACCCACCGATTATTAAACCACTTTTCTCTCATGAAGCGAGTTCATGGAATTAGACCAGTAACCAATATACAAAATAAGTAATGATATTTTAAAATACTTTTTTTTGAAACACGCTTTAATTAAATGTACCGTACTAGTAATGGCAGAACTCCACGACTCCAGGAAGTGGCCCCAAAGCTTGCCACAACGTAAGGGGACCGTGGTGATTTACAGCCAACGTGAGTTGAGCGTGGACATTTAGACCCAAGCCGAAACATAAGATATAAAAAAGAATGTTTCAAAATATATTTATATTTTTAATGATAGAATAAAGTATTGTCATCAGTACGACATACGTATACCAAGTTTGGAGTCGATTGGACATTGTGAAGTGGGTTAAAATTGAGTTTACAAGATTTGCGGATACAACAGACAGAGTGAGTTAAATAAAAGCGTGTAAAAACATGCTACGATTAGATTTAAGCATTTAATTCGATTCGCATATAATGAACACTTTGTACGGCATGCAAAACGTGTGCTTGCGGTGTCCATAAAGAAGTTCATGGAAGTGACTTCAGGAGTAGTTTACGTGATGTCCTAATCCAGGGAACTTCCCTTTCTCTGCAAGAATTCCAAATAAAAATGTCGTATCAAGACACGATGGTGATAGCGCAATTGTAATACGATGTGCTGTGTTAGCTTTGGGTTTGGGCCAAGTTGGCTTGCAGCGAGGTCAGGTTAAAGCCGGGTTGGGTTAAGGCCAAGACTTTGGTTTAACCATTTGGGTAAGACGAGGAGCATGCGTGTATGCTGAACTTCTTTTTACACCGCAACGCAGCCAACGGTGCTGCTCGGAGGTGCATGCAACCACAAGCATCTGGAGCAGCAGGGAGAGTGAGGAAGTCGCGAGCGCTTAGAATTTTGGGAAAGCAACTTTTAAAAAAAGGAGCTTTTTTTGCGTCGCGTAATTATTACTTTCGTCAAAAAAATCGACGTGAAACCGTTGCGTGGACTTGGCCTAGCTGCCGTGTTGTTTTATTTGCAGGTGCCACAATGCCCATCCTGGCCGGCTGAGGAAGGGCTTGGGGGGCGGGGGGGTCACCTCTGTGACGTGGGCAGGGGGTGGCGGTGAGGGGAGGCTCGAGGCTGCGTGAGTGGAGTGATGGGTGCCATGAGACGTGCACGCTGCTGGCGGGCCCTTGTAGCCGGCCTCATTGTGTCGGCCTGCCTGGGCGCCCTCCTCTACTCTCTGCGGGGCGCACGACCTCCCTGGATGCTCCCGGCACAGCTGCGGTGGCTGACGACCCCAGCACACGAGCAGGTATTGACGGCACTTTACAGGTCGGTGGGGGGGGGGGGGGTGGCTGCAGGGGGCTAACCTATCCTGTGATAAGGGAGGGTTGTGTACGGAGCAGGGGCGGGGGGGGGGGCGCCGGGCGGCTTTTGGAGGGGGGCTGTGGACTGGAGCCGAGATGATGCCGCACCTCCGATTAGCACGGTTGGCTACGTACGGTGAGAAAGACGTTCAACATACATTTGGGCTGTACGCCTTTTGGCGTCCTCTGGTCTAACACCGTTTGAGACGGGGCTCAAGAGGCTCAGAAGAAAGCTGTCTCTGGTGTGGACCAATCAGTTTCAAGGACAATGCCACAGATATTATCAGAGTACGTTTTTTGTTTGCATTCTGACCACAAGTATTGTGGTTAATGAGGACGTGATTCCTTGTAAAAGGTTTCAGTTTGGTGTTTTAACATCTTAACATAGCTGTTTTGTTGCCAAAAAAAAACTAGGGGAAAACCCTATTATCATATTTTGGTACTGGCAAAGGAGATCCCATGATAGACATTGTTTCCTTTGTTTTCCTTCCCCTGCACTTCCGATTAGCACGGTTGGCTCTGTACGGTGCAAAAGACGTTCAACGTAGGTGTTAAGTAGGGAACGATAAGCACGTTCATCTCCATGGAGGCGCCGTAGCCGAGGGGGTCATGACCCCAGAACGTTTCGTTTAACACGTCGGGGATCTGTGATTGAATTACTTCAGTAATCTGTGATAGATTGCATTTTGAATGCGCTGTAGGTTTTATTTTGGCTGTGAATGGTATGTATTCGTCATCAATCATAATCAATCCACCACGCTATTGCTATCTCTCCCGGTCTTGCCAGATTGGGTTTAGGCTAGATCGGGTTAATACTAGGGGAAGTTTAAGCCTGGTTGGGTTTAGACTAGCTCAGGTTAATACTAGGGGAAGTTTAAGCCTGGTTGGGTTTAGACTAGCTCAGGTTTATACTAGGGGAGGTTTAAGCTCCATTGGGTTTTGCCTATATCAGGTTTATAAGGGGAGGTTTAAGCTCCATTGGGTTTAGGCTAAATGGGGTTTTCAGCATCTGGGTGGAGTGAGAAGAGCCAGGATGTCACGTGTGGGTGGTGACGAGCACGACAGCTCATATTGGCGACCCACAAATGTCCGGCGTGTGGCTGCCGTGCAGATGGAGAGCGGTCCCCTGGTGAGCCGTACCGTTCTTCGCGTGTGTGCGCTTCATCATGTCCGTAGTAACTACATTTGTTTTTGTTTTACCAGGTAAGGCCCACTGAGCCACACAGTTCTTGTTCAGAAGTGACCTGGTCACAAATGATAGCCCAGCGTAGTGGCTTATCACGTGGAAATGTTCCGCGGCCGAATGCTCTAAACACGTGACTCTAAATGTGGAGGGGAAACCTGGAGGACCCGGAGCAAAGTCCACGTGACCACGGAGCGAGAGACACGCAAACTCCAATATACAGCAGGCGTCAGGGTCGGAATCGAACCCACGACCTTCTGCATACCAGGCGAGGTAGTTAACATCTTGCCACCGTGGCACCCAGAACATGGGAGCAAGCAGGAGTTGCCTCTGTCTAGGCACACAAAAGCTTATGTTGCTAGTTGTAACCACAAGCGGGTTTAATCTTAGCAACAAAATACATTCCTAAAATAACTGTTCATCGTTAGTTCTTCATTTGGCTAGATGGCGCACTGCTTAGACCATCATAAGGTTGTAACGATCATCACGACATGGTCGATAGTTGAGTACCGATGTCTGAGAAGTCATATGGACAGACTAGCCCCCACCATCACAATGGATAACATCCACCACGAACTTCAGAACCGCCAACAGATTGTCAACACCTTAAGTGGACACCTGCTCAACCACATTATACCGACTTCGGACGCTTGTATAATTCCCTAGCCTGTTTGTATGTATGTATGTTGAACTTCTTTCACACCGTACGTAGTTTTACTGATATCAATAAACGATGACCCATTCCCACTTCAACAGCTCCACCTTTGAGACAAATCACTCCCCCAGTGCTAACATGCATTAAAATCCCACTGGCCAAATAGACGCAGACAAAGCGCAGCTATTATTACGCATATGGAGAAGCAATAACGGCGAGTGAGGCTGAGACTGCAAAGGCTGTAGCCGCGATGCATGGGCAGGGAATGTGCTGAGAGGTGGAGAATGAGAGGGGCAGATGCATGCCCGGCGCTGCAGGGTTCAGAAATTAACCACACGTGTACACACGAAAGGCGGGTCACAGGCAAGGCTCAACCCGACAGCACCGCACAGGAAATTGACACCACCCCACACATGCACGGGCAGTCTGCATACCAGGCAGACGGACAGATGCCTTGCCACACGCGCACCACACACATACACAAGGCAAAGATCCCCTGTATAGCCTTAACAGGCTTTTTGGGGCAAGTGCTGTTGGCGAGCACATATTAAGGGCGGCACAACACACCAGGGGGTGGGTGACCAGCACCACACCCGGCTGCCTTTGTCTGCCAAGTGGTAATGTTTGCACACTGCACCAGGTACTCAGTTGAGATTGAGTCGACCTAAGGAACGCTCAGGACCGTTTCAGATAATTAGGTCGATAATCACCGGTGTTGACCGTGAGCAGGAATCGAACTCGGGTCGCCGGGTTCGTAGCGCAGCGCGCTAACCGGTGCGCCACCGCTCCCCACATATACACACACGTACGCACAAGTGCAAGACAAAGATCCCTCATTTTTGCTTATAGGCCACAGGGGCAAGTGTTGTTAGTGAGCACCTACTCTGGGGTGGGGTGGCCCGCTACCAAACGCAGCTGGCTTTGTATCCCCATTACTGATGTTTAGACAGTGCACCAGTTCCTAATTTAATTCTGAATCGAACTAGGGGGCGCCCCAGGACAGGCCGCCCCAGGACAGGCCCCGATACCGCTCGCCGCCGATATTATCCGTTACCGGTAATTGAATTCCAGTCGCCGGGATTTTGAGCATTACGCCAAGCCACTGCACCACTGCTCCTCACACACATGCATGCGCTAAGCGGCGGCGATGTCACAGGTCTTGTCCTAGGCTGGTGTACCCATAGACCACGTGACGTGTCGAATGCTTGCTGGCAGGAGGTCACGGGACAGACTCAGGCGTTATGTACTTTGTTTTTTTTCGGTAAAGTCACGTTGGTAAAATAGAATAAATGAAAACAACTGAATTAAATCACGACGTTTCGGAGGCAACACCAAGCTTCCGTCTTCAGGTGGAAACCGTCACAGCAAAATTGCTGTGTCAAGTGAAGAGCTCTGAGAGACCCGAGATTATATACAGGTTAAAGGGGGGGCGAGGAGCCAGGAAGGACCGGGGGGGGGGTGGCTAAGTTAAGCCGCCTTTTGTTATGCTGCAGGGGGTTAGGGGGACGGAGAAGGGGATGGCGAGCAGTTGTCGAAAATGAGAGAAACCAACTGGAAGAAATGGAAATGGCTGTACAATTATAAGGTAGCTAAAGTTTGACTTGGTTGATGACATCTTTCCAATGATTGCTTCATTTAAAACCATCCGCTCGGCTGAAGTTGTGCCTATGTTTGTATATCTGGATGGCTTTATGGACAAATCTTTGGTACTACCAAAGATTTGTCCATGAAGTTGTGTCTATGTTTGTATATCTGGATGGCTTCATGGAAAAATCTTTGGTACTACTTTGGTACTACCAGAGATTTGTCCATGAAGCCATCCAGATATACAAACATAGACACAACTTCAACCGAGAGGATGGTTTTAAATTAAGCAATCATTGGAAAGATGTCATCAACCAAGTCAAACTTTAGCTACCTTATAATTGTACAGCCATTTCCATTTCTTCCAGTTGGTTTCTCTCATTTTCGACAACCGCTCGCCATCGCCTCTCCATCCCCCTAACCCCCTGCAGCATAACAAAAGGCGGCTTAACTTAGCCCCCCCCCCACGGCCCTTCCTGGCTCCTCCCCCCACCCCCCCTTAACCTATATATAATCTCGGGTGTCTCAGAGCTCTTCACTTGATACAGCTATTTTGCTGTGACTGTTCCACCTGAAGACGGAAGCTTGTGTTGCCTCCGAAACGTCGTGATTTAATTTAGTAGCTTTCATTTATTTTATTTTACCTACGTGACTTTACTGACAAAAAAAAACAAAGAGTATGAATCCTTGCGGTCACGACAGCTTCAAATCTAGAATCAGGTGTTATGTGTTTACTGAGATAGCTGACAGAAGCACCTCACTGTCTTTTAGCTCGCCAGAGCTCTGCTTGCTGTTGTTGAGCCGAGCCCCTACGCCTTGCCCCCATCTGCCCATGAGCCTCCGCTACAGATGCCAGTTTTGTCACCGCTGGATTTAGTGGTCGGCAAATCCAATCCGCTCAACATTTTTCAGCACCACACTAACCCGTCTCTTTTTGAGCTCGTACCGCACCCATTTAACACCTTTTATCTGGTCAAACAGCAACTACTTTGGGCATGCAATGGCTGGGCATGCAGGCTACTTGAAACGCACATGTTTTTTTTACGCACATGCACTTACACATTAAAGACAAAGATATACACGTATGTTGAACTTCTTTCGCACCGTACGTAGTACGTAGCCAACCGTGCTAATCGGAGGTGCGGGGGGGGAAGGACAACAAACTGAACACAAAAAGCAGTTCCAAAGAAATTAGTTTTTTTTTTTAAGATCTCCTGTACAACTGTATAACCATGAAGGGGATGAGTGTCTGTCGGTGGGGCTGGTGTAGCACCTGTCGGGGGGGGGGGTGAGTGTAAACCACCGTACCGTGCCCCACCACTTTATTTTTCTCATCGATGATGTTTACACGGCGCACCAGGCACTCGTTTAATAAGTCAATCCAGGGGGAGGAGGCCAACGGGAAGTTCAGGTGCCAATTTGTCAATCGATGTGCGTGGCCAGGAGTCGAGCAGAGATTGCAAGCGCAGTACACAACCTGCTGCACTGTCAGCCCGTACAGGCACGCACACAGCACACACGGT